TACATAAAAAAAATATTAAAAATAAAATAAAATATGGATTAATAACAATAATAAAAAAAAATAATATACATAAAACAAAAGAATGAAAAAAATAAAAAAGATGAGAGAGAAAATGGACGTTCCATTAATTCCTCTCCTGTAAAATATTATAATGATGTTCAATGTGCAATGCAATTTTATTTTTATTGTAATTATAAATGTGTATCGTATTTTTTAATACGATCTTATAGATTGTGTAAATTGTGTACATTTCGTTCATGTTTTGTGTCGGGTGTGTGTCATGTCTTTGTGTTTTTCTGTTTCAGGATTGATTTAATGTTGTTGTATGTCATGTCACTAATCGTTACGTTCCCTTTCAGGTACCTAGATCATAGCATTTCCTTCTTCTTTCCTAAATTTCCTTATTTTCTTTTTGATTCCTCCCGGGTGTGCGGTCGCGCGTTTGCTCTTATTTGCTGTGAATGAGAGCAACGGCTTCCACGTGGCCGCATGTCCAGGTGCAAAAGGTATATCATCTCCTCTCAAAGATGGTAACCAGGTATCATTTCAAGCGCAAAACATAGCCTCTGTATTGATTCAAGACCGTTTCGCATATTACCTTCACGAGGTTGCACCTGTTTCATACAGAATATGCTGCGGATCTCGTTTTGATCCACTAGATTTACCATACGCTGGTTTATCTATGGGATTAAAATTAAATGCTAAATGAAGAATCCTTCCAACAAAACCTTTGAATTTTGATGTAACACCGTAAACATCTTCACCTGTTTTAATACAGAAAATGTGACGGATCTCGTTTTAATCCATTAGATTTCTCATACGTTGATTTATCTATGGGATTAAAATATGCTTAATTAAATGATTTTGAATTTGTTTTGATTCAAATATCTTTTATTATATATTTATTTTACAGAAATCTTCATTTCCTCTAGTAGCCACCTTCAGAGATTACGTTGAATTAAAATTCGATAACTAACCCACAATAGTAGACAGCAGCCATCAGTCCTGTCAGTAGCCATACAAAAGATTCTTGTAGAATACTTATTGGTTCTCAATTCTTCTGTATTGCGGTAAATATCACTGTGCATTAAGTGCAATAAGAAAAGTAAATTATTGTTTCTTTTTCTTTTAGATTCAGATGAAAACTAGCGAAATTCCGCTAGTTGAGAAGTGTGATTGTTTAATGAAGAGGAAAATACATTGAAGAAATTGAATGTATGGTATTTACTACCATGGAATATTTCCTGACACAGAAAGGAAATGATGCTCTTCTGTACCAAGGTTATGAATATACCAAGTATAGGGAGAATGGGAATGGAGTGATCAGCTGGAGATGCAGATCTTACTTTGGCACCAAATGCAGGGCATTCTTAAGGACAAAGGATGAAAATGTCATTGGAGAGGTCCCACAACACTGCCATGATTCTAATCCGCAGAAAGCACAGGCAAACATTTTAAAGTGTAGGATGAAGCTAAACATGAAAGAAGTTGGTGCAACTCCAAAGATAGTTATAGGAGATATCCTATCTGAAGTGAATACAGATATTTTAGAACACTTGCCAAAGCTGTCCTCACTCTCACGAAATCTCCTGAAACATAAAGAACCTGCTCATGTTCCTTCCAATGATACAGATTGTATTATCCCAAAGATGTTTGCCGAAATGATTTTGTATGATTCAGGAGCTGACGATCCAGAAAGGATATTGGCAATTGGGAATGAGGAGCTGTTTTCAGAATCAAACAAGGATGTCATTTATGGAGACGGAACATTTGACAAATCACCTAGCCTACTGTATCAGTTGTACACATGGCATGCTAAGATTGGCAATTCATATCCTCCGTTCATTTATTTTCTGTTGCAAGAAAAGAATATTGACATATACAACAAAATGTTTGCAATATTGAAACATTTGATACCCGACATAAAACCTCAAACAATTTTCCTGGACTTTGATAAACCATGCATGTCTGCCGCTCAAGTTGCTTTTCCAGAAGCACAAGTAAAAGGGTACTACTCTCACCTTTGCCAGAGTTTAATCAAGAAGATTAACAGTACTGGCTTGAAGGAAAGATATGCATCTGATATAGATACAAAGTTGGTGCTGAAGTCACTACCTGTTCTTTCATTTGTGCCAATATCAGATGTAAAAAGTATCTTTGATCAATTAGTTACTATATTTCCAGATGAGGATAGCTACAATGAGATTCTCGCATATTTCCATTCGACTTACATCGAAGGAGTTGCAGGAAGATCGCCTATCTTTCCAATAAGTATATGGAATCATTTTGAGTCAGCTGCTGAGGGATCTATCAATACAACAAATTGCTGTGAACAGTTTCACAACGTCTTGAACTCATTGTTTCAGAGTAATCACCCAAACTTTTGCAATCTCTTAGATGGATTAAGACGAGATATAAGTTGCCACCGTTCACTGTTAGCCAACGTACAAACGGGTCGTCTGGAAGTTAAAAAGAGGAAAAAGTCTGAGACAATTAGTAATCAAGTGGCAATAATTGTGCAGGATTATGAAAATCAAGTTGATAAATTGAGGTTTTTACGCCGATTAGCAAACCTGCTATGATTTTGTACATAGTTATTTACCCAATTGGTTTCATGAAGTATATCATTTACTTATTAAAGGAACCTGTATTTCATTATGTAAATAAAACGTAAGCGATAAGCGTGCATGCAATTGAAATTATTGCAGTGTCACAGTGTGGTCAGGAAAATATATTTTTATTTCTTGTTCTAGCCCTGCGTTTTTGTTTTGCACCTTTCGACGGAAACTGGCATATGCTAAGCGGAGGATTGTCGTGCTTTAAAGAAGAAAATAATCTGAAGAAGTAAGAAAATTCACGTTGTTGGGGTGAGTTTTTATATATTTATATTGAGTTTTAATTGATCTTGTTGCTGCTCATTTTATATGAGTTTTATATATTTTTGCAAGAATCTAGAGTGTAAATTTTAATGGATTGTTAAAACTCTAATGGCGTCTGCGGAGAACCAATTGAAAAAGGGCAAACAGATGAAGGCTGTTCTTGCATAACGAACGAGTTATGCAACATAATGTTCATGAAAGTCGGAACGTTTGTATACGCATGGAGATTATGTGATTAATTTTTTGCACGATTCTTATTTAGTTATCGATCCGTGTATTAAGAAAAACAATTAATTAATAATTTAAATGTTTGATTAAAAATAATAATTGGCGTTTTCAATTGGTTCCTCGAAAAAAACGAAGCTTTTGTTTTTTACTTTCGTTTTCAAAATTCTTTGATTTTTTTTTGCCACAACCGGTTCGTGCTTTCTATTTAAGCCTGGATCTGAGGCGGGAGGAGCGCTTTTCCCTCGTCGCCACCGTACCGCAAACATCGGCACGTGTTTATCCATCCTCGTTCATTCATTCATCTAACGCCCACGCGCTGCTGCGTATTCGCAACAAAAAAAAATCTCTAAAAATTAATATTGATAATAATTCGCAACAAAGTAATTTTTTTATAATAAACGAAAATGAGAAGCAAATCGCTTTTGGTAAAGCTCTTTCTCGGCAATAAGCAAATTGTAAGGAATTTCTCTGTGTCGTCCGCAGCCAAGATGCGTTTCGTGCAATACCAGAAGAACGGCGGTCCTCAACACCTGGGGGCGCAGATTTCCCCCGACGGAGATATCTTCGACATCAGCGCCGTCGACTCCTCCATCCCCAACTCTCTGGTGAAGTTCTTGGCCGCAGGTAATGGCGGCATCGAGAAGGCTAAAAGGTCAGTTAACGAACCTGTTTTTCATATATATCTATGCATTATTTTACATACGAAACTCGAGAGTGTTTCCTTTGGAAAGTGCAACGCTTCGAACATATGCTGCACCTCGAAACGCTCTGCTTTTTCATAAAAATCAATAGTTTTCGTAACACCGCAAATTTCTCTTATATTTCCATCAGTTTATTGAATGAATCAATTCAGGAAATGAGAAAGTGAAAACTTCAATCATTTAGATTATTTGCTTTTAATTGTTGTTTAATTATAATGCAAAATTATCAACTTTTACTCATTTAAATGTTTCAGAAATTCTTAAATTATCAATTTATATATTTCATGAATTCTGAATAATCATACTTTGCTGTAAACAATTGTACGTTTTGTTTGTCAAGGACTAAATTTTAATATGCTCGCCAAACGAGAGAAGTATTAAAGTCATGGCTGAATCGGTTCAAGCTGAAAAGCGACTTGATAATAATTTCATTTTCAGCGCGTTCATCGCTCTCTCGTTGATAATAATGGTTTTATTTAATTCAAAGCAAAGCGTGAATATCTTCTCTTCCTCCTTAGTGTACTCGTTGAGTTAATAAAAAAAGAATCGCGGTTGTCATTGAACTTGTTTCGCTTTCAATTTGTTTTATCAATAGAAACACTCTTCATATGATTATTTAAAACAATTGATTTCAAATAATAAGGTCATTTGATTTATTCATTATTACTTTCGATTAATTCAATTGGCTGAGTAATAATCTGACAAAACCAAAAAAAAAAATATATAAAAATGTGCATAACACAAACATCAATTGATCAATTTGTGAAAACGCGACGTGGAACAAAACAAACAGATTTACGAATCGACAAACACGAAATCCCATTATAAAATACTCGTTTTCTAGACTTGTTATTGAGAAACATTAGTTTCATCTCAACCCGAAAATTGTTGTATTGTTTATGTTAGAAGTACTAAATCCAAACATTCGAGTGCTTTCTAATCATTATAAAGCAGAAATTCTTATAAAAGCGAATGATTTGTGAAAATTGTATTTTTGTTATTATTTGATGTGCATATCTATTCCAACATTATATAAAAAAAAAAGGTTTATCGAGGCGAGAGATAAAACGTATAAATACTGAAAGAAGAGGAGTCATGTAACGTTTATCGGTCACGTTTTCGCTTCTATAATCTTATGGATTTACTCTGCAGACGCATTTCGCGTTTGTTTACTTATCACCTGATTTTTTGTTTTACTTTTTGGTCAATTCGATAATCAAGAGTGCAAACAGAATATACCCAAAATAGAGATTGTAATTAGCGTGATTTGGATAATTTTGCATCTAAATTTATTTAATTCTTATTTGCTTCATTTGAAACAAATCATAAAAATTTGATTATGTAACATAATTAAAATTGTTTACTATTGTCACATGATTTCGTCAAATCATGCGTGCAAACAAAAGAGAATCATTTCAATAGTTGTCATTGTTATTAACTTAAGAATATGGTTACTAGATCTTGTTTGATTATGTAACCTGAATTATATTTCTGAATAGTTGATAGAAAGCCGCGAGCTGGAATTTATATTAAAATGTAACCTTCTCTTTGTATTTTTAGCCACACTCGACGTGATTCCAATACTAAATCTTACATACTTGTAGAATTTATGTTCAATATTCCTGTTTTATTTATAAAAACAAAAAATACTCACTTCATGAGTGTTTTTACATTTATTTTTCATCATAAGATGATGACTTCCCAATTTTGTTTTGTATATACAATGAATTATCATTGTTGGCAAAATCCACGATTGCGATAGTGATTCTAGTTTGTAATTTATAAACTATTTCATTGTGGAAATGTAAATGTGTACAGTTCAAACTGATGTTAATCCACTTGGAATGTTGTTAAATGAGAGTACATCTGTTTTTTTTTATCTAATCTTAATTTATCTTTAACTTCGTCATTGCCTCTCAGATTGAGTTTAGCAACAAACAATGATATAATTAACAATTGCTCGAAAAAATAATCATTGTTGTTGTTTTAAATTAATTAAAACTAATTAATTAATGCTTGTTATTGCAATAAAGATTTCTTTAATTACCCTAGTGACAAGGTAAACAACTTATCGCTTGTTTCCTATATTTATGCTTATTTTATAACAGGAATGTTAATTATGTTGCCTAATAATCGTTTTTTAAAATTTTTCTTTTTGCAGGATCGTCGCGGCTGGGAAATCCGTGGTGTCACCGAGCGAGGTGAAATTCCTGTCGCCGATAACTAGACCGGACAAGGTGGTCTGCGTCGGATTGAATTACACCGGTCACTGCGACGAGCAGAACAAACCCTATCCAAAAGAACCGATGTTCTTCAACAAGTTCCCGAGCTGCATCGTCGGACCCAACGACGAAGTCAAATTACCATCGATTTCGAACGTAATCAATCATATAATTGATCGATCTTAAGAATTAATTGATTTTTTTTCAGAGCGTTGATTGGGAGGTTGAATTGGCTGTGGTAATCGGTAAAACTGCGAAAGATATTCGCAGGGATCAAGCGCAGAATCACATATTCGGATACACCATCGCTCAAGATATAAGCGCGAGGGATTGGCAGAAGGAGAGGAACCACGGACAGTATCTGCTCGGTAAATCGATGGATACGTTCTGTCCGTTGGGACCTGCCGTTGTTACGAAGGAATTCATCAATGCAAACGATTTGAAGATCACGAGCACTCTCAACGGTAAAGTCAAGCAGTGCGGAAACACTTCGGAGCTCATCTTCAAAGTCGACTTCCTCGTGGCGTACCTCTCCGAGTAAGTTCTACATGAAAGATTTAACAATATAAATTAAACTATCGCTTATTTCAGAATCGTTACTTTATACCCTGGAGATGTTATTTTAACCGGAACGCCGTCCGGAGTCGGCATGCACAGAAGTCCACCGGAATACCTGAAATCCGGAGACGTTCTCGAAAGCGAAATCGAGGGAATCGGCAAGATGGTCAACAAAATAGTTTGAAGACTTTCGGCACTCTTAATTAATAAGGTTCACAATTATTTTTTTTTAATATACGGATGAAAATTTTATTTTTTTATTTATTTAACAACTAATTAACGAATTGCAATACAAATTTACACGCCCTGCGGAGGGAAGTAAGGTTTCGGTTTCGCGGATGTGTACTTGAATTCCTCTCGGTTATGATAGGGTTCGTACGGATCCTCCACGTAGTACTTTGGTTTCCTCCAGAAGTTGCAGACCATCTTGTCGAGCAGCGTGTTCTGGTTGCCGTTGCAGAAGACGTGCTGCCTCAGTCTGCGCATCCTCGCCGGGTGTTTCTGCCAAATTTTCTTGTTCCTGCCGCACTTGGTGTGTATCCAGCCGCCCCAATCCAGACGGTAGAACCTCTTCAGCACCGCTTTGCAAGTCCTCCTCCTCCCTTTGCTCAGCGTGTATTTGGTCAACGACCTCTGCGCATTGTTGCCGATCTCCTGCACTCGCGGATTCGATAGCAGTGGTGAATTCACCGTGCAGGTGAAAGGTTTGAGTAGAGTTGAAAAGTTGCTGGCGATCGGCTGCAATCGCGTTGCATTTTGTAGCGTTGGGAAGGCTCTAGAAGAGCACTGAAGTGCTACAAACAAAAGAATATTTATTAGGGATAAATAAAATCAAGTGGTTGATTGTCGTTTAGAAAATTATAATCAAGCAACAATTGGAAAAACAAATTGATAGTGCAAATTATAAATGTCCCTAACAACAGTCAACAATGTTGAAAGAGATTGATAATAATCGAGTTGCAGATTTGAATTGCGTATTGTTATTATGTGTATCGCACGGATTGTTATGTAAGTAATAATTAAGTTTATATAAGTTGTGGGATTTGCTAAGACTAGTGTATTTAAAATATGAAATTTGATAAATTGTTGATTGAGTCTGGGTGAATTTCGTTTCGTTGTGTTGCATTCCTATAAGATGTTGCGTAACAGCTGAGGATGGTGTAGGGCTGTGCGTGCGGGTGCGAGTGAGATGGCGCTTGCGGTACCAACGTGAGCGAAACTAGAACCTAACCTCTTTTATATATTGAATGGAAAAGGGGTTTTTATTTTTTTTTTGGGTAAAAACAAATGCGGCCCGGAGCAGTTAATTCGAAATATTTCAGTTTTATTTATCGTTGATAAGCGAGTGCTCTCAATTTTTTGATGACAGTACAATGAGAAACTTCAAATTCAACGTGGAATTCAGGCAAAGAATTGTGTAGACGACATCGAAGCGAAAAAAAAGAAACGGGAGAGAAGACACACAAAACACTCACCTCGTCGCACGAGTACACGAAACATCACTGAAACGCTGCCTCCTCACTCACCCGCTCTCTCCGCGCCGCTCACCACCACCAAAGCTTCGCATATATGAACTGTCAGAAGGCACGCAACTCGCCGCACTCGCAATAAAACGCTGCTGCTGCTGCTCTCTCGCTCGGATTTTCTCCCCCCCGCAAAAAATAAAAACAATATCGAAGCATCGAAGGGGGCGCAAAGATGTTCAGAGTCGTGACCAAAATACCAGCCACCAGGATCAATTCTCAGACCAGGGTGAGTTGCAGCAGTCTCTTTCAACATTACAAATCTGCACAAATCATTTTTTCTCGATTCGTATGAATCCTTGCACTCGCACACGAATCGAATTTGCCCATGTTATGTCATAACATCTGAGGGGAAAAACTTGAGATACGTGCAGATTCTCGAACCTTGTCCGAAAATAGACCGTTTCGATGATATCACCATCGTAATCTAATTGGAAAATATCTTTTATGCCAAGAAAATGCACATAATTTCACATACACCTAACCTACAAACTGTTATTACTACAATCCTGATTCCATCCATCACACGACCAGTTCACAATAATCTCAATGTTTTCATATATAAATCTTGTTCCATCTGTCAAATTTTGTGGCCTATCGTGACTCTTCTTTTGAATTCCGGATTAGTGCAGTGTCTTGAAATTGGTAAAGTTTTCTATCTGTAAGAACATGCAAAGAGTGTTTAAATCGAATTGGAATTACATGAAAAATTCGAGTGGAAATATTTTCAAATGATAGTGATATCGTAATAATAATAATACTGCATTATTGATTTGATTAGTGAAGCGTAGTTTTGGTTCAATTGAGTGCATTTGTTGAGGATTTACAAGTGTCGTCTGAATTAAATTAAAAAAAAAATTAGAATAGAAATGTTACTTAATTGTAACTTTAAACTGTTGGTTTTATGTTATTACATAATGCTATTTGAATCAGTGTTTTTATAGTGAAGACAAATGTAAAATTGAAGGTGAAAGCAATGCCGTATTATTGATTGATTGATTTGGTTAGATGTAATTGGGAGAGTTTGTATCATTTGAGAAGTGAATACTACAGTTGCAAATGATAGTGTAGATGCAATGCTGCATTATTGATTTGATTAGTGTAGCCTAGTTTCGTTTCAATTAAGTGCATTTCTTGAAGATTTACAAGTGTCGTCTAAATTAAATTAAAAAAAAATTAGAATAGAAATGTTACTTAATTGTAACTTTAAACTGTTGGTTTTATATTATTACATAATGCTATTGGAATCGGTGAAGACAAATGTAAAATTGAAGGTGAAAGCAATGCCGTATTATTGATTGATTCATTTGATTAGATGTAATTGGGAGAGTTTGTATCATTTAAGAAGTGAATACTACAGTTGCAAATGATAGTGTAGATGCAATGCTGCATTATTGATTTGATTAGTGAAGTCTAGTTTCGTTTCAATTGAGTGGATTTGTTGAAGATGTACAAGTGTCGTCTGAATTAAATTAAAAAAAAAATAGAATAGAAATGTTAGTTAATTGTAACTTTAAACTGTTGGTTCTATATTATTACATAATGCTATTTGAATCGGTGTTGTTGTAGTGAAGATAAATGTAAAATTGAAGGTGAAAGCAATTCCGTATTATTGATTGATTGATTTGGTTAGATGTTAATTGGGAGAGTTTGTATCGTTTAAGAAGTGAATACTACAGTTGCAAATGATAGTGTAGATGCAATGCTGCATTATTGATTTGATTAGTGAAGCCAAGTGTCGTCTGAATTAAATTTAAAAATTTTTAGAATAGAAATGTTACTTAATTGTAGCTTTAAACTATTGGTTTTATATTATTACATAATGCTATTGGAATCAGTGAAGACAAATGTAAAATTGAAGGTGAAAGCAATGCCGTGTTATTGATTGATTGATTTGGTTAGATGTAATTGGGAGAGTTTGTATCGTTTAAGAAGTGAAAACTACAGTTGCAAATGATAGTGTAGATGCAATGCTGCATTATCGATTTGATTAGTGAAGCAAAGTTTTGGTTCAATTGAGTGGATTTCTTGAAGATTTACAAGTATCGTCTGAATTAAATTTAAAAAAATTAGAATAGAAATGTTACTTAATTGTAAGTTTAAACTGTTGGTTTTATATTATTACATAATGCTATTGGAATCAGTGAAGACAAATGTAAAATTGAAGGTGAAAGCAATGCTTGATTTGGTTAGATGTAATTGGGAGAGTTTGTATCGTTTAAGAAGTGAATACTACAGTTGCAAGTGTTGATTTATTTATGGTTTTAGATTGGGCAATCCCGGTTATACAGGACGATCCGACACTATTCGAAAAAGGGAGAGAACGAGCTATGCCCGCCGACCCCACCGAAATCTGGCGGCGGATCGCTGTACATGATCGGCGCACTGACGGTGGTGACCGGAGCGACACTGGGATACGCCAAGTACGATCCGGACTTTAGGGATTGGCTGAAGGAGCGTGTCCCGTTCACCGATGATCTTATCCGATTCGTCGCGCAGGAGGACGGGACGTGGGCGGATCAGTTGAGCAAGTTGATGTCGAAGTTTTCGGCGAAACCGCCGCTCCGACTCCCCGCCGTCATCGAGGAGAAAAAGAAGGACTACAACGGTACGAAACGATAGGTGTTTTGTTGAGGTGATCTGAGATTTTACATTAATTCTTTCAGCGCCGCATCCCGTTTTCCCGAAGATCGCCGAAGACTCGAAACACACCGATTCCTACAACGAGATCCGCGTCGAGCAGAAATCCTCGCCCGGAGCGACGCCCTTCGTCGAGATCAGTAAATGGTGCTTCAATTAATTGTCGGCAGTTTTTTATTAATAAGTCTCTTTCAGGCGGCGATGTTAAGCGTGATCCATCGAAATTGCCCGTCGACGAGATCGCCGACCTCGAGCTGAGCATCACGTCGAACGCGACGATGGCCATCGAGGAGTACAACAAGTCCATCTACACCCTGAGAAACTACAACAGCAACGTGGAGGTCGTCGTCGAGGAGTCCGTGGACAGGATCGACCCGTCGGTGTGGGACAATCTGAGGAAGAAGTCGAAGGACAAGGACCAGCAGATCAGCGATGCGAACAAGCACGCTAACGAAGCGCTGAAGAGTATCAGCGAGCTGAAGAAGATGCTGAGGAGGAAGGATTTGAACGTGCCGGAGGTGACGATCGAACGCACCAAAGTGAACATGCACAGGATGGAGCACGATTTGCACGCTGCCAAGGCGGAGCTGGACAAGGAGATGAGGCTGTCCAGCGTCACGGACAAGTACTGGCATAAGGTGCGCGAATCTCTCATTTCATCATCATCGAACGAAATTCGTATTCATATTCGTAATTATTTGTAGGTCGAACAAGCCAGGAAGCATTTCGGAAAGGAACTCGAAGCTCTCTTCCCCACCATCAATCTGGAGCAGAGGAACGTGACCATCTCGGACGCCGACATGGATCTGTTCGTGCTGCACGCCATGTCCAAGGTCCTCTACTACCAGAAGGAGCTCTACAAACTGGAAACGCTGAGCGATCAGCGTCTGCAGGACGCTATGGATTCTGCGAAGAACACCGGAAACTTTGAAGTTCTCACCACCGAGCAGATCTGCCTCGAGCTCGAGAAGGAGAAGCGTAAATTGGAGACGGAATACCAGACCAAAGTACGAACTATACGCACACGCATGTTTTGTGTATTTACTCCTTTTTTTGTTGTTGTTGTTGTTGGTAGTGCTTGAAACTGAGGCAGGAATCCGAGCACGAGCTCAGGCAAAAGCTGAAGATGCAATCGGAGGCGTTCACCGATCACCTCGAGGACGCGATCCAAACTCGCGAGATGGAGCTGGAGCGTCTGCTGAACAGGAAGTTCGACGAGGATTTGACTGAGGAGAGGTGCAAGTACAAGATGCAGGTGTCCGCGATGGTCGGTCGTCTTAGAGGAATGGAGGAAGCCATGAAAGGTATGAAAAACAACTTATTAATACTTAGAGCTAATTACTTTTGGTCTTTATTGATTGCATCATTTGAAGAATGCTTTCGTTTAGCGTATATTTCATTATCATTCATCAACTTATTTGTTTTATGTTACACACTTAGACTGGGACTTTACAGGTATTATTATACAGAGACTTAACATTTTTATTATCTTTACCTCATTTGTTTTGCATGATTTTAATTAATTTAATTATTAATACATAAAACAGATATGTTAGAATTTATCGAATTTGGGTTTGTTACTAATTGATGTTGATGTTTTTTTCAGCGAGAGCCGATGCTGATAAGACCGCCCATCAAGCGCAGGTCCTCTGGAGCGCCTGTCAAGCGCTCTTCAGGTCCGTGAAGGCTGGATGTCCGGGCGTTGCGTGGATGGATCAGCTGAGGCCTCTGGAAGCGGAAATCCACGCTGTGAAAAGCGCTGCCGGTAACTGCGATATTTTCAATTCAATAATAAGGTAATCATCGGTGATCGTTTCAGCTGAAAACGATGAACTGGTGAAGGTCGTCATCGAGGGAATCCCGTCGGAGGCGAAGGAGCGCGGCGTGTTCCCCGAGGACGCTCTGCGCGAGCGCTTCCTGAAGGTGGAGAAGGTCGCCAGGAGTATGGCGCTGCTTCCCGAGACCGGCGGTTTCCTGCACATGTACTTTTTGTCCTATCTGCAATCCATGTTGCTGCTCAAGTCCACTAATCCCATTCCGCAGGCGGAACTTAACGACGAAAGCGTTGATTTTACTAAATTAGGTACAAACGAAATTCTACAGAGAGCACGGTAAATATGATTGTTATGATTGATCGTTGCATTTTAAATTGATTGAATTTGTTGTTTTGTTTGTTTGTAGGTACTGGATGGATCGTGGAGATTTCGCGCAGACCCTGAGATACATGAACCTGTTGAAGGGTGCGGCCCGCGCCGTCGCCAAACAGTGGATGAACGAGGCGAGGATACTGCTTGAAACCCAGCAGGCCGCCAACACCCTGATGTCTTATGCGGCCGCCAGCGGTCTCACGTACATGTAGTAGCAACATTCATCCTTTGTATATATATATAACAGAACAAAACAAAAAAGAAAACACTACATTTTTTTTTCCTTCGTTTGAAAACGGCCGGTGATAAATTTAAATTAATTTAAAACCTAGTAATGTGTCCGCATATTAATAATTATCCATATTATAAATATATACAAGTAATTTTAATCGATTGTAATTTTGAAAAGACGACTTACCATAACACAGCCAGAGTGAGAGAGAGACGTGTATAGAAGAAATGATGATAAAGAGAGAGAAAGAAAGAGAGCTTTACCTAGTCCAATATTCGCATCGACGTTGTTTAATTAAACCTTCCTCTCGCAGAAGAAATCAAAACTTAATTCGATTTGTAAAATTGTGTGAAAGGGGAATAAATAGTGAGAGATGTTGCGTTTTTTTCTTGTTGTTGTTGTTGTTAGTTCTTTCTCAACACGTGTGTGTTATTTCTTCATTCGCCATCTGATCATAACTTATTTATTATTATATCGATTTTCTTTGTTGTTGTTATTATTTTACCTTTTTATGTTTGTCGCAGAGAATATCGTTGTCCGTTCCTAGGCTTAATTTAATCTGTAAAATCAAATTTGTTACTCGTTAATTTTTTTTATTATTTTTTTTTTCATCCTCTCCCCAAAAAAAAAACCGCCTCCCATCATCATTTTATACAATTTGATCGCTAACTAATTAACATGTACTTATATATTAACAAATAGACATGACTTAAGTCATCATTCAAATTGAAGATTGAGACTTAAATGTATTGATTCTCAATACGTGCAAAGGTTTGAAGAATGATCATGATTTTATGATTTTTTTTTGCTTATTGAAGATATAAATAATTCATACTGTATGTATCGATGTTGTAATTTGAACAGGGTGGAGAAAATAGAAGAGAACTGCTTGTTTGTGGAAGCTGCTCAATCCCAGAGATTTAGATTGATGGGAGATGGAGATGTTTACGGAGAAGACGGATCGCGTGTCAGCAATACTAAAAAAAAGAAGTTCCTTTATAATACTTATTTCTTATTCAGTTATTAAAGCCAAACACGATTCAGGTGAGGGAAAATGTTACGTGAAACGTGTTTGGTGATTTAAGTGAGAAAATCAAAACGTTACGTAACGTATTGTCAATTTAAGATCGTTACGTAAATTCACGATGAAAAGTTTGAGAAACAATCGAATTCTTACGTTTTTAAGAATACATTCGTTTGTTTTAAGTAAGAAAATCAAAACGTAACGTATTGCAATTTAAGATCGTTACGTAAATTCACGATGAAAAGTTTGAGAAATAATTGAATTCTTACGTTTTTAAGAAAACATTCGTTTGTTTTAAATGAGAAAATCAAAACGTAACGTAACGTATTGTCAATTTATGATCGTTACGTAAATTTACACAATCGAATTCTTACGTTTTTAAGAATACATTCGTTTGTTATAAGTAAGAAAATCAAAACGTAACGTATTGTCAATTTATGATCGTTACGTAAATTTACGATGAAATGTTTGAGAAACAATCGAATTCTTACGTTTGTTTTAAATGAGAAAATCAAAACGTTACGTAACGTATTGTCAATTTATGATCGTTACGTAAATTCACGATGAAAAGTTTGAGAAACAATCGAATTCTTACGTTTGTTTTAAATGAGAAAATCAAAACGTTACGTAACGTATTGTCAATTTATGATCGTTACGTAAATTTACAGATGAAAATTTACAAATCGAATTCTTACGTTTTTAAGAATACATTCGTTTGTTATAAGTAAGAAAATCAAAACGTAACGTATTGTCAATTTATGATCGTTACGTAAATTTAATAAAATGTTTGAGAAACAATCGAATTCTTACGTTTGTTTTAAATGAGAAAATCAAAACGTTACGTAACGTATTGTCAATTTATGATCGTTACGTAAATTTACGATGAAAATTTTGAGAAACATTCGAATTCTTACGTCTGTTTTAAATGAGAAAAACAAAACGTTACGTAACGTATTGTCAATTTATGATCGTTACGTAAATTCACGATGAAACAATCGAATTCTTACGTTTTTAAGTATACATTCGTTTGTTTCAAGTGAGTAACATAAATAACTGGTATATTTGTACTTACGTAAAACGAAGTTCGATGAAAATCATTGATACTACATTGTGGACTCGTTCGTTTTCGTGAATCAATCGCAGTCGAATTACTGCAATTACACTTATAAAATATGAATTGATGGATGCAATTTGTACGATTGGAAAGATGAATGTCTGATTACGGAGAGAGTCAATTTACAAAATTACGTTCGCTTCGAAATGCGTCGGATCGCCTCGTCTACGGAGAAAACAAATTTGACAAAGTTTTACGAAGGGATGGCACCTATCTACATCATCTGCAGACTCACCGGAATCTTCCCTTTATCCGCGCGCCGATCCAAAGGCAACATAATCGTAACGTTAAGAAGAAACGATTACTTTTACATCGTTTCCTACTTCTTGATCTACGTTTCTCTCTCAATTTACGCCACGTACAACGTGTTTGTAGATGAGGAGAATTACGTTATTGTTCCTAAAGTGTTGGTGCTGTCTGAGACGTTGATTGTGATCATTTTGATGCTCACAACGATGTTTTTCTGCTTCTTCTTCAGGCGGCTTTTGCTCGACTGCGCTCGCTTAATAACCGACGTAGATTGCACGCTGCAGCGCTTAAAAGTTTGGATCAACTATAGAGCTGCGATGTGGAGCAACTTGAAGGTGTTCGGGATAATGATCGTTTCGGTTTTCGCGAGAAGCATCGTCATGGGTTCGACTCTTCGCGTGGATGTCGTGCAACAGTTCACGCTGTTCCTGGCGACGTTCATCAAATCGCTGAGCAAATACGAGTTCATAGCGATGTTGCTTCCATTGAGCGTCAGATTCAACAAGATCAACGACGAGATTGTTGCGTATCGGGTGAGGAGGAGAGATCCGAGTCTTCCCGGTGATCTTTACACGCTCTGCAGGACGCACTTTAAACTTTGCAACATCTCGAGAAGACTCAACATTTGCTTCGCCTTTCAACTGCTCTCCTCTTTAGCCGTTTCCCTCACGGACATCCTCTTCCAAGGGTTTTACCTCTACGTCATCATGACGAAGAAGCAGAGACTCGCAACGCCCGCGATGATGGCCTCACCCGTCGTCTGGTTGATAGACGAATGCATGGAAATCTATCTTTTAGTCAACGCCTGCTCGACGACTTGTCAAGCCGTACGTTATGTAATCTTTTGAAACATCAAACACTCACCAAAATACGTTTTTCTAAGAGATAATCGTGTGAGAAGTGAACTGCTGCTGCAATGCACCATTAATTCTTGTAAATTAATTTCGCAGTCGCATTAATCCATCTCAATTTATCGCCAGGGCTTAATTAATTTGAAAACCTTTCTATTTTCTTCATTCTTTTTGCAGGCGAACGCATCTGGAATGGTTCTGCACGAGCTCCGAAATTCGCTGCAAGAGCACGACATTGATCAATACGTGAGATTCTTTTCCACTATTTGCTCATTAATCTAATTGGAAACAAACAATTAACAGTTCAACTTAACACGTATTTACCTCAGTTTTCTTACGTTGCAGATCCAGATGTTCTCATTGCAAATGCTCCATCAGAAACTCGAGTTTTCCGCGCTCGGATTCTTCACCATCGATTACTCCTTACTCTACTCGGTAAATATCTGCAAAAAGAATCAACTTTAAACACTTGCAAATACAAGAAAACATCAACAATATGTATTTCTTTGGATTATGATTTCATATGCTTCTACGTTATCTAGCTACTAAGTGAATAATAATACGATTTGAGCAAAGTTTCGCCGAATTCCGAAGTTCGTAAAACACCGAAACTTAACTTGCTGACGGCTCAAATTGGATTTGAGAGAAGTTCAATGTTAACACCAATTTGCCCAAAGTGTTCTACAATATTATCATCACATTACATTATATACATTGCACACGCAAACTTTACAAATTTTTATTGCAAACGCTCAAACTTTTTCGATCGAAAAGTGAAGTAAAAAAAGCAACAACACTAAATTACATGTTTCTTAATCATCTGGAAAGCTTTTAATTTCCACTCTGCGTCTAATCTAAGAAGTAAAGAGAAAACTCTTTCGTTCTGCTCATTTTTCACTTATTCACGTCATTAATTTACGTCAAACCGAGTACATTTTTCCACAATCTTCATCTTTCCCTGACAATTTAATTATTACTTTTTGCGATTTTCTTACCGCAAACTCAATTTGTCTCATTCACTCGTTTCGTTAGAATGAAACTTATATTAATGCTCGTTTTTCTTTTACAGATCGTTGGTGCTGTGACTACGTACTTGGTGATATTCATCCAGTTCGACCAATCAAACGACTCGAAAAATTCCAATTACAACAATTGCACCACAAACTAAATTAATTTTGTAAAAAAAACGAATCAATAAGTATTTGATTATTTCTTTTTTTTTCCTGTTTTGGGGCTTAAAGCCTGAAAAAAAGGGAAATCCGTACGCTACGAAATCCGCTTAGAATTGATATACGTGATGTGCGGACTTAAATGCGCCAAACTGTTATACAACTTTTTTTCTTCCTCTCTCTTATTATACATTTATTTTTGCAATTTCTCTACAAACTATTTGGGAATGTAAAGCGTCGAAATTACGTTTCGCTCGACAAATTCGAGCTGCTGCTGCTGCTGCCTGCTATGTATTATTTCGAATTTCCTAAAGCATAATAATTCATTTGATTACCTCATTTCGCGCTGCGAAATTAACTCGCAACGAATTATTATTATTATAAAACTCGCGGAGTATGCAAATGCATTGAAATTTCGTAATCCGTTTTTTCTTTTGGAAAGTATGAAACGTGTTAGTAGTTTATGTACTAGTGTACAATTTCAACGACGTAATTGGTTAAAGTTTTGTTGTTTAATTTTGACAGTTGATTATGGATTGGTGAGTGTTACAAATAATCTATTAGAATCATAATAAAGCTTGAAACTTTAGCTTTCCAACGCATATTCTACGTTAGTTTTGTTGGCAATAGTTTTCGAGATATTAGCTAAAACGTAAGGAGTGTCCTTTTTCGATGCAAATTGCAGGAAAACGGTAAGTGATACAATAAATCTTTTATAATCATATTAAAGCCTGACATTTCAGCTTTCCAACGCATATTCTACATTAGTCTTGGTGGCTATAGTTTTCGAGATATTAGCTAAAACGTAAGGAGTGTCCTT